ACAGTCTCCTTTTATTGTATATAAGTTATTTGACTTTGTTTTAACAACTTTGTCATATTATTAGGAAGACCTAGATTAACGTACCTAGTCTGGAGTCCATAGAATGCATGATAATTTCCAGAATCGGACCTTGGACGGCATTGTCAAACGGATTTGCAATTGTATGCACCACTATAAATCGGGGTCTTCGGCCTCAAGTTATTCTTACATTAAGCTTGAGGATGTTGATTTTTAGGGGCCTACTTAGCGAGTCGAATGTACGCGTGCCTTCAAAAGCTTGAGGGAGTGTGGTAAATAACGCTTCGAGTTGTACACATAGGGCGGCAGAGGTCAAGTGAACTGCCTGAACTAGGTAGGTAGGAGGCGGATCCTATGGGGCAAGAGGAAGACTCTAATAAGAAATATGGACAGAGAGTTGCGGGGTCAGGGGGTGAGAAAGACTGTGTGGAGTTCAGAGAGTTTTCATGAAATCTGCTAAAAAAGGCACAGCATACCGCATTTAAATAAATTGTGATAGTGAAGAGGGGGCGAGGATATAGGATTGGTTATTAGCCAAGGTCAAAAGGAGAGCTACCACAATTATTTAACAGACAATTTGTCAAAGGATCTGCTTCACTTGTCTCTGACGATTTATAGTGTGGTGCTAAGAATGACAAAGCTCACTGATAATGCCGGCGAAACGTCTGGGCATATACCAGACTCTAGAATATATCATGAATTCTATGGACTCCGGACTAGGTGCTTTTATCTAGGTCTTCCTACTAATAAGATCAAGTTGTGAAAACAAGGTCAGACAACTTCTCTAGAAAGATAATTTTATTTCCTTTCATCATTTTAGGTAAATATTTTTCTATAAAATATTTATATTTTACTATCTTTATTATCTTTTTCTCAAATTTTCCTTAATGCTACAGAGAAAGCCAAATAAACCTCAATATTTTAGCAATAATTATCTGATCCTCCTTTCAGCTCATGTGTCAATTTTGCTTAAAAGTGCTTTTCACTCATTATTACTTGAAGATTTCTTGTTTAGTTACCTCATAATGCCACCATATGTCTTCTTATTCCTCGCACTAACTACAATTTATTAAGGTGGATGTCCAACTTTCTCGATGCACTTGCTGTACACGAGTACACTTACAGCGTCTTGAAGAGGGCCGATACAAGCTAGGCTCCCGTATCTACTACCTGCGTCGATTTCGCTCCCATGTGATGGTCCGTGTCGGCGGCGGTTGGCTTACTCTAAGCGAATTCCTAGATCGCTACGATCCCTGTCGTAAGCGCAAGTTTTTCAACTCCTTGCCTCCAGCTAACTTCACTAATATTACCGGCACTACTAATACCGGTAGTAATGTAAGGGATCTAGCTAACAGCGAAAATGGAGCGAAATTCATAGAATCGAACTACAGCTCGGCACTGTACAGCGCCACCTCCTCAGGTATTGCTTCTCCCCACCGTACATCAATGACTAATTTATTTCCTCCGGCTCCTCATTTATCATCATCGAGTGTGTCATCCACAGCATCGATTTTCCCTTCCGAACTCCCAGCTTCTGGCTCCACCTCGGCTTTGCTATCACGCCTTCAGCATACTCATCCCTTCGGGTCCGGCATGGGAATAGCTCAATCCTGCCATCTTGCTCCTCAGGCCCCACTTTTACAACGGGCATCGTTCAGCTCCTCTAGCAACGAGGCTCGTGTAAGGGTTAGTCATTTTTTAAAATTGTCAGCCTACTATTCAATCATTTTTTCATCGTTACATCATTTAATTTATAATTGGGAAGGACATTTGACCTATAGATACTTATATACACTTGAAGTTAATCTAACCACAATGAGTTGCAATTGAGATCTATTTTCGACTAACTTTGGTTGTATGATTGTCTACTTGCTTGTATGTGTAGATTTCATATATTCATTAATCTTTAACTGGTATACTTTATAAATTTATATATTAATAAAGTAAGGTCTATTTTCCTGTTCTAGTTTTCAGTTGTTTGCATTACTTTTATCCATACTCTTAGTTGTCTTGAGAAAATCTTAAAAATTATCTTTTCCATGTCTTCAAATAGGACTTCTTTCAGTTTAATTGTCCGTGTGTCTTGCTGCAGATAAAGCCAAGAAGAAACTTCTCTTGAGAACCCCCTCTTCATAAATTTGCAGGGAACGGACAATATGTTCGATTGGTCTTATATATCGGCACATGCATGTATGTAAGTGAGCAGGGTTACGTTTAGTTAAGATCTCGGCTAAAAAGTAAGTCGAACAAGGGCAATCAACTTTATTCTTCAACCAACTTTTTCACCAATTTATAATGAAAAATTTAATAAATAAAATAATGATTCTGTGCGTTTGATCAAAGAATTCAGAGTGCAGAGCCCCTCCATTTTTAAATAGATATAGTGGGCCGGTTTTTTAAGCCTCTAATCACTATAGAATTTCCCAATAAAAATTGTTATTTTCAAGACTATCTGGAGCAGAAAGTAGTACCTAGGTTTAACCCAACAATGTATTTATAATAAGAATCCTGGGTATCATTGGAATGGGTATTTATGAATATGGTCAATTACCAGATGTTTTAGCACTTATAATGCTTTTTTACTCGAGACAGACTATGTAAACTTAAAAGTTTCCAACGACATTCAACCATCAAAGCAAGACACTTCGTTGGTTGTATGATGTCGAATTGATCCAAGGAAAATGGAGAAGAGAGAGAGATGATTTGTTAGCTGAAAGGATTTTGATGCAATTTGCAATAATTAACTTTAGAGATAATGACTGGACTCTGGCATATTGCTTGACGAAAAAGCCAATCCGGTCCAGAGTGTCAGGGGCCTGTTGACTATGCTACTTTGATTGTCTTAATGACTCAAGACGAAGAGGGTTGATTTAAAATATATACTATAAGTTGTTTGATCTTGTTTTCGCATCTTGTTCATATTGGTAGAAAGACTTAGAGGAACGCACCTAGTCCGGAGTCCATTGTATTCATGATAATTTTCAGTCTTATCGTGAACGTGGTACATTCCCAGATGTTTCGCTGGCATCGTAGTCGGCATCGTCAGTGAGTCTTGTCATTCTTAGCACCAAACTACAACTCTTTAAGGAGACAAGTAAAACTGATCATTTGACCAATTGTCTGATAAACAAGTGTGGAATCTCTCCTTCCGCCCTGGGCTAATCAAAAATCCAATATCCTCGTGTCACGTCTTTAATATCATAATTTTTTATTTGCTTATTGGTGTGCCCTTTTTTAGCGACTTTCAGAAGACTGTGATAAGACCTATTCAAGGAGGACTGCGTAACAATAAGACAGACATTAATCAACATTCCCAGCACATGGGTCAAGGAGCGTGATAAAGCCAGCGTGGAGTGTGAAAATTTATAATGAAAATCGCTCAAAAGGGCACAATATACCACATTTAAATAAGCAAATAAAAATTGTGATATTGAAGACCTGATAAGAGGATATTAAATTTGTCATTAGCCCATGGCAGAAGGAGAGATTCCACACTAGTTTGTCAGATAAATGGTCAAAGGATTAGTATCAGTTGTCTTTTTAACGAGTTGTAGCGTGGTGCTAAGAATGGCAAGACTCACTGACGATGCCGACTGCAATAGCGGCGAAACGTATGAAAATGTACCACGTCCATGGTCCGACTTTGGAAATTTTCATGCATTCAATTGACTCCGGACTACGTGTGTTCCTCTAATAAATAGAAGCAATGAAATACAAATAAAATAATAATCATATCAAAGCTAATTTCAAATTATGTTAACAAAGTTGTCTGACCTTGTTTTCGCAACTTGTTCATATTGGTAGGAAGACTTAGAGGAGCGCACCTAGCCCGAAGTATATTGTATGCATGATAATTTCCAAAGTCGGACCGTGGGCGTAGTACATTCCCAGACGTTTCGCCGGCAGCGTCAGTGAGTCTTTTCATTCTTAGCACAATACTACAACTCGTCAAAGAGGCAAATGAAGCTGA